TTTTAGGAGTTTGTGTTGCCGGCACAAATATCTAAATTCTAGATTAGTACTTATACTATATTCATAAATTATAATAAAATGATATTTTACCATAAATGTCAGGTTCTTTGGTTAATTTGTCGAGATAAGACTGACGACCACCAATTCGTTCAACAATTTCTTTCAATTCGGCTTCAGTTTCTTGTCGTCTTTTTGTTTTTAATAAGCGTATCGCTTCTTCAGGTTTTAAGTCTCTTACCATTACAACATCCATTTGATAAGCATCTCTCTCTTCGTCATAAATTAAATATGAAAAGTATAAGTATATAATATAAAACAAGAAATTATATAAATATAATAAATATTTACTCATGCGTTCATATATTGAATAATCATTGGTGTTAAATACCATTGTCACAATCTTAGTAGCTGCCCAGGATTCAGCACGTTGTTGTAATAATTCTAACAGGTTTTCACCATCTTCATCATCTTTAAATGCTTGAATATGATTTATGACAAGAACTAATGGACGACGATGTTTTTTGCGAAATTTTATGGCAACAGCTTCTATCACATTTAAAGCCTTTTCAATATCAAGTAAAGCAGAACCTAAGATAATCATAGTGATAAACAATTATGTATATTATTAAGTTAAATAAAATTATATAAAATTATAAAATTCAAAGGTTACCTCGTTCAGGAGCTTCTATAGCAAAAAGTTGTCCAATATAATCTTGTCTATAAGTATATTTTAGAGCTTTGCCTAATCTAACTTTAAAAATTTCACAATCCGAATGAGCTTCGGCAAATATAACACCATATTGATTTATTCTTTGCATTGCATTTAAAATTAACTTTGTTTTTCCGGTTCCTCGTTCACCTACAAGTAAAAGGTATTTTCCAGGAGCGCGCCCTTCTATAACTTTTTGAATTGTTTCTAAAAATTTCTCTCTTGTAAGGAATTCTTTACTTCTGCCGTTTAATAACTGATCAGGTTTTTCAAACGCTAGTTCTACTTTATGAACTTCGTTCCATTCGTACCTGAATAAAATTGTAGATTTTTTTTTTTTATTTTTGATAAAATTGAAATTTAAAACAGCTTTTCACTACTTACCATGCATGATAAACTACACCACCAAAGCCAATAGCTACTAATCCTGCTATGGTTGCCAATGCACTATCCACAACATGAGAAAATATACCTGATCGTTTCTTCTTTTCATCACCATCAGCAGGAGACTTTTTTTTCGGTTTCTGATAATTACCATCCTCTAACGCTGTCTCAGCGGATTTTTCTACAATATCATTCACATAAAAAAATATTCATCTAGAGTTTAGAATTTTTGAATCAATGTTTAATTTGTTTTTCCAGAAAAGGGATAATAAACACCTGCAGCATTAGCATCTTTATTTAAACTTCTTTTTAGAACCATATGAGATTGTTTAGAAAAATCAATCTTAATCTTTGGATTACGATATACCAATTTGAATGAATTTAAATTATTACCACTATACAAGCGAACGTTAACATTCTGTGTAAATAAAGCATTATAAAGATGTAATTTCAATTTTTTAATTGAATTAATTCGATTAATTCGATACATTATAAAAATTAAGTTTGCAAAAATTTAGAACAGAGCTAATATTTGTTAAATGTTCATATACAGTAATTATTTTTTGTAATATTATATATTTGAATATCATAATAATTATGAATATTCATAAACATTCATAATTTATATATATCGATATGATATTCATGAATATTCATAGCTGAATTTGTTTATCACAGAGGTGAAATTCACCACAATAGCTATGATTAGCTTATGATCTATAGGAATGTTTGCAGTTTGTCTCAAATTTTACGTAAAACTTTAGAATTAATATTTAAGTCTTAAATTAAAGATTAGGGTTGTGAATAGGGTGCTGAATATTTTTACGTAATATTTCAGATATGATTACTAAAGCTTGTGAATTACACCTTCGATAAGCGTTAAGATCAACATCCTTTATAAATAACCATAATTATTATAATTTATGAATATAGTATAAGTACTAATCTAGAATTTAGATATTTGTGCCGGCAACACAAACTCCTAAAA